GGGGGGGGGGGATGGGGACCTCGATTAAACTCGGAAAATTTTTGAAAAGTTTGGAAATCGGAAACGAGGACTCAGATTAAATTTCGTCGGATCGCGAAATCGACTTTTCTACCCGGTTAAAAGGTTTCTGTATTGTTTCGCGAATCTCTATTGTAGGAGGGATGTTTGTCGGATTTCCTATCCCGCTAGATATTTTTCGAAAGCATCCGCTCAGCCAGGTAGAAGGGAAACGGTTGCACCCCGATTGCCACCCCAGCACAGGGATAGGAAGGGGTGGTGGCGGCGGCAGTAGGGAATATAAAGAAAGGAGCGAGGCAGGCACCCTTTTATGCGACAGAGAGAGAGCCGAACTAAGCCCCTAATTTCTCGCGGGGTAAAAGTTGCCAGCCGTAAGCATCCCGCGCGAAGGGTGAGCATCCGTATTTGGAGATGGGGGTGCGGCCGAGAGTCAATCGGCAGGCAGGGTGGCCGAGAAGAGTGAGTTTATATTGGAAAAGAAGGCAGCAGGGGCAGGAGGAGCGCGCGAGAGCGACACTCGCGCGAGCGAGTGAAACGTTTAAACTTTTTATGAGTTGCTGCGTCGCCGCTCGAGCGGAGAAATTTCAATTTTAGCGAGCGTCAACCCCTGCGCGCTAGGGCGAGAACGCACCCATTGGCAACGTGGCCCACCGCCCACCACCCACCACTCGCCACCCCGCAGGCCGCAGGCCGCAGCGTCGCTGCTTCGCTCACTGACTTTCTCACCTCTTGGCCTTTTCCGAGACGTCTCTGCCACTTTGCTCGGGAAAACCGTCGGCCCGTTTCTGCCAGCCATTCGTTGGCTCGTCGTCGTTACTTGGATATTCGCGAACAGCGATTCACCAATTGCAAGATGTTTGCTTGCTGCTGCCTGACTCTCGTCCGATGCTAACGCGCTGCTCTCTTTCATTTGTAGAATCTCAAAAGTTGCCGTTTTCCACGTGATTCCCCCCCGCCGATCGGACCTTCCGCGAAGCTCCAGGGCCGCGCGGCAGGAAGATGTGCCAAGCAATGAAACTCTTAAGACTCTTGATGAAACCGTCAATGAATATTTATTCATTCGTTCTTTTCGAGGAGCTCGATCTTTCCACTCGAGAAACTCATCGATGTCCTTGTGCGCGCTCCGCCTTTTCCCTTCCTTTCTCCTCTTCCTTTTCTCCAGAGAAAGAAACAAGAGCGACGGGGACTAACTTTTATCGTGATTTAATTGGAGGTCCAGATCCAAATGAGATTCGTGTTATCGATTGATTCTCCAAAACGTCTGGCTTTACAGCAGAAGAACAGAGTGGCAGGCAGGCATGCGAAAGGGTCAAGAAATGAGAGAACAAGAATAAAGAGTATAGTGCCGGAGCAGCAGTTTATTATCAGAATTGTCAGAGAAGGATGATGGGGAAAGATCTAGGGACGATGGGGAGTATGTATTTGAATTAGTGCGCCAGAGTGCAGATGACTCTACGATGGAGTTTCGAGCAGAAGGACGAAGGAAAAAGGCGATGGTAGTCAAGCGAGAGACGGGAGAATTTGGAGGGTAAGGAGAGAGTGGAAAGTAGAGAAAGGCAGAGTCAGCGTTGAGCAGTGCGCACGGCGGACCAAGCCCCGTTTTAATATGTTGACGTTCACGGGAAGAGAGAGAGAGAGAGAGAGAGAGAGAAGGAGAAGGAGAAAAAATACGAAAGACCCGCGGAACTGTCGACGTCGTCGGCAGGGTAGTGTTAGTGGTGGAATGTAGGACGAGAGGGGTTCGCGGCCGGAGGGAAAACTGCTGCTGCCGAAGCTGCACTGGTAGAGGTACCGGTGGGCTGTCCTGAGAAGGCACAAACAGACGACTCGAAAAGAAAGTTTACCGTAACAACAAAAGGCGTTTGTTATTGGGCAGCATTTGAATTGTCTCTGTGTCGACGGGCCACCTTATTGGCCGACGCGGGGCGTCGGCGTCGGAGTCGGAGTCGGCGTCGCGATTCCAGCAGGTCTCATGGTGGGGTGGCTCAAGGGGTAATGGGCTACACAGCCCCCTTACACTCTTCCTAGGGACTATCCTCCTCCACCTGGATGTTCCGTACTCTACGTCTAGCTGCTCTAGCTCCTCATCTCCTCCTCTGGGGCGCACCCCCCCACTCGCCCCACTCACCCGACTCCCCCGACTCACTCTAGCCTCCTTTGGCTACAGTACTGCTGTCTCTGCTGACAATAAGTTTGCTTCACCGTCCTGAGTCCTTCCATATCCTCGAGAGGATTCTTCGATCCTCGAACGTATAACCGAGAGTGCTGTCAGTCCGTAGGACTAAAGAGACCGATCGTGGGTTCAATGGTACTCGCGATTCCATATAATCAATGTGCACAGATTTTTCAGCGAATGTCCTCCTGTAAGGAAGTCAGGCACGTTGCTGCGGGGCACCGGAGGAGCCTGAGGATGGGCGACGAGGATGCGTGCCGACTCGCGAAGCGTCACGAAATAGCGTGAGATGCAATCCTACGGTTCCTTGCATGTATGTGGCAGTGGCGGCGCAGTCGGGATTCTCGCTGGTGGAGGTGGCGGCGGTGGCGGCGGCAGAGGCGACGGTATATCTTTTACCCCTTCGACGCCGAAACTGCCGAAGGCACCGGCGCCGAATTCACCCCCACCGCACTGATATTCACCTCGTGGAGCGTGCGCCGCCTCCTACGCTACTAGAATTCCGTGGACGTGGATGTGGGTGGGGGTCGGGGGGAGCGAGAACAGCCGCCCTTGCGTTCTCCTGCCTCTTAGGGGGAGAGACGGAGAAGAGAATAGAGAGAGCGAGAGAGAGCGAGAGAGAAAGAGGGGGGGAGCCAGAAGAGTTTCGAGAGATTATGCTGTTCTGTACACGCGAGGGAGTCAGTGGGAGTGAGAAAGAAAACTAGAATGCCGCGGTCATAGGACTGCTGGTGGTGGTTTTCCTCGAGCTAGGGTAGGGTGGGAGCCCTGGAGAGGGGTGAACTTCCCCCTGGAAGTCTCGCCCTACCGCGAGACGCTCGGCTCGGCCTCTGCTATGTATGGTTAAATATTGCATTATTGTTTTAACGGCAAGGAGGAAAACAACACACAACCGGCGAGAGCGCGGGCCAACGCGCATCACGCTGCTACGTAACGTCGTAACGTCGTAACGCCGAATCGCGCTGACGTAGTAGTAGCACGAGTGACGAGCACAACGTAAAAGTCTCCCTTAAGTTTTCACCACCCGGCGGTCTTGCGTCGCTCTCGACTTCAAATTGGCCAACATCACGTATCAGTTAATCGTCGCGTGTATCGTCCCGTGTGCGAAATAGGGCAGCAGCTTCGTCGCCGCACCGTTCGAACGTACGTACCCCGTGGTAGGCGACCAGTGAAGGAGGTGTGAGAGGAGAAGGAGGAGGCGGAGTGGGTGGGTGAGGTGGTGGAAGGGGCGGAGGAGGCGGAGGAGGGTGAGAGAGGAGCAGAGGGTGGGACGAATATCCTCAGGGAGTCGCGCCGTTTAGGCTACTATTTTGGAGATTTGTTGCTTCGGAATAACTAGCCGTTTAGTTCATTAGCTCTTCACTCCTTTCCCATCCAGTCATCCGGCCTGATCCTAGCCCCGGTTTCCTGATCCTGCCTCTGGTAGCCTGCCTGTTTCTAGTAGGCAGCTTTGTGCCCCGCGACTTCGTTACACCACCACCAGCAACTCTGGTTCGCTTGGCATCGCATCGGTAGCCGCTGCTGCGCGCAAGGCCATTCGAGAGCACCCTCCCCCGCGCGACCTCCTCGACCCTCGTGCCTCCCTCTAGCCGCACGCCCCCTCGCCCCTCGTCCCTCGCCCCTCACGGCATCCGAACAACAAGTACTCGCTACCCGGTACCCGGTAGCATCCGACACAACACAGCAAGCCGCCCGTCCTACCGCCTTCGGGCCTTCAAAGCCTGATCTACCTGCTTGCCTGCTTCATCTGCCTGACTCTGCCTGCCTGCCTGCCTGGCTGCCTGCCTGCCGTCTGTCTGTCTGACAGTCTCTGACTGCCTTCTCGCACTTTGGTAGGTCTCTCCCGCTCTTCCCTGCCCGTTTTCCCCTGCACCCCGACCTCTACTCTTTCACTCACTGGAACCAACACTTTACTCGCAGGTGCGCGCGCGCGCGCGCACTGACACGCACGCACGCACGCACACGACTCACCTCACACCCATCCATATATGAACTTAACTATAGCGTGTCTCTGTTACACATAATTGATCTTAACATCTTCGGGTTCCTCGTAGGAAGACTCAGGTACACACACACACACACACACACACACACACGGACACAACCACACCACACTGCTACACACACGCACACACGCATCTACTATAGTTAATAATTTCCAAATTCTCTCTCTCTCTCTCTCTCTCTCTCTCTCTCTCTCTCTCTCGCCTTCTGGTTCCGTTAACACACGCAAACACACACGCCCACACTGGAGCGACCGTATCGATAGAATCTGTTGACGTGAGTTGGATAAGCAGGAGACAAGAAGAATCGACGCGACGTGTTCAGTGTTTGCCGCTGTGCATCTCCTTCTGGTCATTTGGATAAATACGCACGCGAACACGAAGACGAATGAAAAATAGAAATAGGAATACGAATGCGACGAAGAGGAGACAGGGAGGAGACAGGGAGGAGACAGGGAATAAACAAGAAGATTCGATATCTTGACAATTCGCGTCAACGGAATTCTCGTTCTAAACAACCTTTGTGATAATCTGTGCTAGCAAATAAACAAATGACGCGTGTTACATTATAAATACCGTGAGGTGGTAAAAGTGTTTGCGAATCTAACGCGTGTTCTCTCGGCAAACTCATTCCGCGTTCCAGTCTTTTTCGAAGGTGGCCAGTCGCCGCTTTCCGAGAGTTTTAAAAAGAGTTTCCTTTGATACTAGCGACTTTATCAGCGCACTGATTCCCATCGGGTGTCGCTTTGACATTTCATCACTATCCATCCGTTAATTGATCTGACTTACGTGAAATTGATCGAGCTACGATAACGCGACGCCAAATATATTAAGAGTTAAAGAAGAGTAATTAGCGCCTGCACCATAAAGCAACGTGATTTAGACTGAAAGGAGACAAAAGAGAAAAGTATAATTTTGGGAAAAGCTATATAGATTTTGAATCGGTCCATCGCGTTCGTGTACCTTGGTCGCTCCAGTGTCATGTCTTAGCTTCCTTTCACGATTTTTCTCTGAACTTCCTTCAGGCAGGAAAGAAGCTGTGGCGAGTGGTGGGCAACCGAGCCGTTTCCTTCAGCGGCTCGAAATCGAAATCGTGCCGGGAGAAATATTGAGAAAACGCACTAGACTGCTTTCGGTTTCGTTTGTATGAATAACGACACGAAAACCGAGAAACGTGAACCAGCCGAGCTGTTAATAATCCAGTGAAGCATAAAGAGGGGGCCTGAGCTGACGTCGTTGAACGAGTAAGTAAAAGCATGGCAAAATTGCTTCTTTAAATTGATGTGTGACTTATTCGGCAAAACTATCGGGTTTTATCGGGTAGAGCGACACGCGTTTTCGAAAACCACCAATTGCCTCAGCATCTCGCAATCTCTCGCCATACGTGCGTCAGTTACGCACAGGTCAGCTCGCGCGCGCGCGCGTGTGTCAGGTAGCCATACGAAGAATTGAACGTCTCTGCCTGAGAGAAAATATAATTTTTCCCCGTGCCTGTAGACACGTGGCCAGACAATAAGTCGATTCGCCCTTACGCAAGGACTTGCATTCTAGGACGTCCTAACACTACGCCTGTCAGCGCCCCTTGCACGCGCATCCTGCATGTCTCTTTCCTCAAAGAACGAGGCGATACCTACAGACTTCGAAACACGTGACTTACGTAGGCGGGCAGTAGCTTGCGTCATTGATAGATTTCGAAGCTCTGCAGGGTAAATCGAATAGTGCTGGAAGATTAAGGGGGGCGCAGAGGGGAGGAAGCAAGGATCGTCGACCGTAGAGAGTAGAGAGTGAAGAAGAAGGCCAGCTAGGTACAGGAGGAGTGCGAGGAGTGCGAGGAGTGCGTGCGGCTGCACCGGGCGCGTGCCACGCACTGGGACAGCCGAAAGCATCATCGGGCTGCCAGCGTTGGCGCCGTTAGTTGTGTTGGTCATGTTTCCCCGTGTTGGCCTGTACACAGTGTGTATCGCGTCGGGCGTCGGGCGCCGACGCTCCAGCGTCGCGGTGCCTGCCCTTCCCGTGCACAGCCCCGTCTCACCCTGAAACCACGACGAAAGCTCGAAACTCGATGCTCGAAAGGCCCCCGAAGCTCCATGGCCTCCCTCTCTCTACCTGAAAGAGCCAGTTCTCTCTCGCAGCAGCAGTCGCGTGCCCGACGCGCTACTGAGCGGCCGTGCGGCCGTGCGACCTGACGGCCACATGACCTTGCACGCATGCCTTCTACTCTCTTCGTTGCTCTCGTTCGAATATATATCAGTCGGCCGTGGGTCTTTTAAAGGGATTCTGAATTGTTCAGCTTAAAGAGAGAGAGAGAGAGAGAGAGAGAGAGAGAGAGAGAGAGAGAGAGAGAGAGAGAGAGAGAGAGAGAGACTCTCTCTCTCTCTCTCTCTCTCTCTCTCTCTCTCTCTCTCTCTCTCTCTCTCTCTCTCATATCTTTTCCTGGCATTGCAAGCGACGCCTCGTTTCTTTTTATTCCTCGTGTCGTCGAGAGAGAGAGAGAGAGAGAGAGAGAGAGAGAGAGAGAGAGAGAGAGAGAGAGCGGCGATTATAGCACGCTGAAGGAATATGTCGTTAAGCTTCATCCTGCGTATCCTAGCTACATTGCTCCGATTATTTCTGCTTGCGTGTCCGCATGGTACATACCTATTACATACTTTCAGGCTGTTATCTCAGGCTCTTTGATGTCAGGAATTGATTGGTACCACAGTCTGCTCGATATCCAGCCAGTCTCGCTACTCCGTGTAACGTTACACTAGATTTAGTTTTTCTTGGCTGAAGTTCAGGACGATTGATTTGAATGGCGATGGGAAAATTGAAGTTCATCCAACTTTCACTTTCCTCCTTGGAAATAGATTTGTCTGCGTTGGCCGCCAGAAATAGTCATGGCAAACGGAAAGACAATTATTGACTCATTAATCAAGTTAACATTTAAGAGCTCTAACAGGTTTTTGTGCAACTATTTGGATTGAGAATGGACGTTGAGCGACGCTTGCTAGACGGTGTGACGATGCGACGATGCGACGATGCGACGCTCGCGAAACTTGCTGATGCTCCTGTTAAACGTTACGAATTTTATAGAATTATCTTGATCTTGAAGATTGCATCGAGCAAGTGTACAAAATTTCCAGGTATCTCGTAACGCGTCTCTTGACTCGAAACCCAAGTCAAAAGTTTCGGCCAAGTTGAGAATCTCTCGTAAGATTATCGAAATAAAGTAAGGATTTCCTTCACGAATTGACCGTCGGCCGAGTCTCGCGAAGCTATAAAGCAAAACAGTAAAACGAGGGGATGGCCAAGCTGAATGATATAGATATAGGGAGGTGCAAGAAGCAGGAGAAATCGTGGGGGTAGGGGAGGGGGGTGGGGGTTCTATGGCGGTACAGGGAATAAAATCAGGGCGATAAAACGCGAAACGCACATGGACAGGGCAACATGGAGGATATCGGCCGGCGACCTAAGGGCTGATGGTGGGGCCAGTCGCAGAGCTTATTAGATTTGCATGTGGAATAAAGAATAGGAAGGGACAGACGGGGACTCTCGAGAGAGAGGAGCTTCCGGCCGTCTGGCACCGGCTGTCCATTATGGCATGGGATGCCAGAGAGGAGACAAACGTCCAGCCCCCAGTCATAAAATTTGGCCTTTTGCAAATCTTGCAAAAAAAATTGGCGAACGGACAGGTGCTTGCCTGGTGGTGGAACCTTCGTACCGGCCCTAAGGACAAGTTCAGAGAAGAAAAATTAAGTAACGTTGCGCACGGATGACACGTCCGTGCTTTTGTTAATACACTTCCAGTCTTTTCGTGTCGCATGAGAAAGGGCGAGGGCGCGAGAGAGATGGGTTAGAGTCGCGAGGGTTCACTGGGTGCGCAGGGGTCGCAGGGGTCGCCTCTACCGAGATTATATCCGGAGGATTATTCCCTCCCGTGGCATCGCAAACTGCCGTGACAAATCGCCCCGTTCTTTATGAGACGAGTTCTTCTTCTCTGCAGATATTCTGCCAGAGCATATATCATGAAACATATATCACTCCCATCGTGTCCCTCTGTATCGAGCTATTCAAAACAAATAGTCTTTGACAGATAGGTATACATTGATGAAGGAGCAACAGGACTCACGTATCGCGTCGCACTTCCACCTGTCAGCCTGTCTGTTAATCCACTCACCTTCGGGGATTCCAGTGCGTCCCTTTCGTCCCTTCCATGAGTTTCAACGAATGGAGGATCATTTTGCGAAACGCATTTTCAGAATCTCGCGAGTCCACGAGATATCGGTAAAATGTTCGACAGAAGCGTCTGGCGCGTAGCCCGTTGCCGTCGGTCTCTGCATAAGAACGGCGCACGTAAGCAGCCCCACAGCAGCCCCAACAACCCCAACAAGCCCAACAACCCTCTGCGAGAAAAGTCTTTAACGGGGCTGCCGAGTGTGTTGCTAGTGATGCTGGCAGGAGCCAGGCAGGACTGGAAGATAGACGAATGAATACGCGAGTGCATATTTGTTTAGCCAGAAGCACTCGTGCTCTTTGGCTCCGCTGCTGGATACTCGCGGCCGACGGATACCTGCTTGGAGACTGGAGAAGCGACCCAATGCAAATACGCGGGCGAGACTGGGATTTGAAGAAAAATAAATAAATAAACTACTATCGCAATTCGAACGAGTCGCTGGGGATCAAGAGCGAATCGAGTGAGTTCCGAAGGATTCCTCGAAATAGTGTCGGATAGTCGAGGTCGGGTCGAAATGTGGTGCGAGGCTCTCGTGAAAAGGTGGGTCGGTTAGTCGGCTTAGCCCTATTATCAATGGGCAATTTCTCGTATCGTTCGCAAGCGAGCACTTACCGCAGTTCTTTCTAGAAGGAAAGGAGCTTTGGGGCCTTTTGCGGGATCTGACCGTTGGATTTCCAAGTGGATTGTCGCGGGTGGACGTGGGTGGACGTGGGTGGACGTGCACTCGTCGAGCCAGTTGGCTCACAATCAGTCGAGCAAAGGGGATCCGAGAGAGGGTAGTAGGTTGACCGTCGAGCTCGGAGATTCGAGAGGGTGACTCGTTCGCGTGGTATATCGATATGTGGCGACCACGCTCTCGAGTGTTTGCTGCGATATTCGCTCCATTTCCATTTGCAGCACGTGGCGCGTTTACGGTT